TAATATATATATATATATATATATATATATATATATATATATATATACATATACATATACGTATACATATACATATACATATATATATATACATACATACATACAGACATAAACATATTACATATATATATATATACATACATACATACATACATACATGCATCGCCAAGTATTGTATGCATGTTTGACTCTAGATACATTCCATACAGTATAATATCCCATGTCCAGCTACAGATTACAGTACAGAGAAACTCTTTCAGAAGCGTACCTGTGCAGGAGACCATATCCCATGCTGCAGCCGAGACTACCATCACCTCCCCAGTCAGTGTCTGGAGTTACAGTCACCTATACACAATCAAAAGGACAGGAAGCGTATGCGATAGTATCCAGCACTGTACAAGGTTGGGTTGGGTTCCATATCAACAAAGTCGTCGAGATACAACTTTATACGATAGTGCGAAAACATGTTGATACTAGTGATTCGCAGCGATATCGCGAACCGTTTTGAGACAATATTTCGATCTAACGTTTTTTTGGGTTAGAAACTCGATACAGAAGCAACGATGATATAACGACAGACTCATCACAGAGACAATGCAATTGAGCACTACCAAGAATTTTAGTAGTTGCTCTTTAACCGTGATTTTCCCTTGCAGAAGACACGAAATAGGTCACGAATTAATGCCAAGTGATTTTGCAACATCAATAAAGTAAGCTAAGGGAAAAACACCACAGCCTTGCCAGAAATAACATACCTCACGGCACGAGTCTGTAGAAATATCATAAACGTACAGATTCACCGGCTTCTTGTTCATGGCTTCCACTAATTGATACTGTAGTGAACAATTTTAGGATTGGTTTACATTGAGAAGTTTACGCCCAATCATACAGACACACATTCGATGTATGTAGTTTTAGTGTAGCACGTGCATGGTATTGCAGATGCACACAGCAACAAATTATCGATACTGCTGTTTCCCAGCCGCTTTGTTGAGGACTTCGAGAAATGAACAACTACCTCATAGCACTTTGCAATACAAATATCAAAGAAGCTAATTATGACAATGGCCAGCACTGTCTGCATACACCTTGGGTTGCAAAGTTCGGTGAACAAGCAGCTGCGTACGAGGATGGTCATTCGATAGAGGTATATAGCGCCTATGGGAACTTTGCATTGCGTAACAATGTACCGTCGCATGTCTTCACACATAAAAACCAAGTGCAACATTTCAAATTAAAATGAATAATCTCGCAGAGCCCACTTTCCGAGAAAAAAAAGTCGCCGTGCAAATACCACATACAAAGCTGTTCTGGTCATAAAGTGTGGTATCACACGATCCCAGTATGTAGTCCACATCAGACTTCAAGCCAGCACGGCTGACTGGCGAGTTCGGTCTGACATCCTGGGTAGTGATTTTACAGTGGTACAAGTGGAAACCAAAGATTTCTATAAGAAGCCGAGTGCTTGGACCAACATTGATAGTCACACTAATATGGCGATATAGTCACTACTTCGACTGCTTCGTGGATTGACGATGAATGTCCGATCAGCTTCCCGGCGTGCGCACAGAGCATGAAACTAAACACTCCGAGACTTCTTGCAAAAAAAGAAAGTTGGTATGCATACAATCACAACGATCACTGATTATGAAAAGTAGGGACTCAAGCTTAAGCATTCGCACTTAAGACATGCACATTAACATACCAGTACATGCCAGACATTCTCAGTGGCCGTTTCAAAGGAGCAGAACCGAATGCTAGCCCCAAGAAGGCCGGCACCGCCCCATGAATTACTTGGAACAATGATGAGTTCCCTGACGCCTCTCACGCGGCTGTTGTACACAATGATGGGTATGGGGACTCCTATATTGGCATTGAGCTGATCTACAAATGTACTGTCTTCCTTGTACTGCATGTGGTATAGAATTGCGTGGTAAATTAATACGAAAATAACATTTTGTTCACAGATGTAGACGGATGTCAAGGTGGGGCATTTGAATAAATTCAAAAGACCAAGTGCAGCGTACTAAAGGAAAGCTGAAAGGGAACACATCAGTTTATACTACAATGTTAATTCTTGAATCAGGCGTGGGTGAAGTCGTGAGACAGTAAGTACTAAACCATAAGCGCCAAATACGCAAGACTAATCAAACTGACCCTCAGGTACACCACGTTCATCACCACTACGTTTGCGTTATCCTGAAGCAATTTTCTGACACAAGAGGAAGACAGAAGTTGTGACTTCCATTGACTTGAGCCGAGACTGGAGCCGCTCTCCATAGCATTTACTACTAATACGCGCTGTACTCGACACATACAAGAAGATCTATACTTACCAGCCTTTCCTCGTTGATGCTCACTATGAAGTCGAACAGGGGCACTAAGCCGGCGAGCTCAGCAGGAGAGTCCTTGTGTACCTGTGTGGTTGAAACGAGTATGTGTAAGCATCCTCCAGTTCACCAGTATTTGTAGCAACTGCCAGAATACGAGCCATATGATTCAATGCATACTTTAAGTATACTCACAATAGCAAGTTGATAGCTATATATACACACAAACATACAGTCATAGACACAGACACAGACACAGACACAGACACAGTAAAAGACACAGACATATATATA